ATAAGATAGTCTACGATATTCGGTAATATCGTAAAACACAATGTGATATCCTAAAATGCTGGCTGATATCCCAACATGTTGCATGCATGGTATCCTAGGATACATCATGATATCGTAAGCTATACTGGATGGTATCCTAGGACACTGGATGGCATGTTACTGGTGCGTCGATGTACCAAGCAAATTTTATGCGCCATTTGAAAACTGATACAAATTTAGAAATATATTCCCTTTTGATGTTTTTTCAGGTCCGTATCCCGAACCTTATCTGTTTATCAATGACGATTCTGGAATCCACGCAATTGATTTGCTAACTGATGATAAAACTGTCGTTATTCCTGGCCTTAAAAAGAATTACGGGATGGCAATTGACAAAGCGGAAATGAAAATATACTTCAGAAACGGCAACAGTATATCCAGAGCAAACTTTGATGGCAGCGGTGTTGAAATTTTTTTGAAAAATGTAGAAGTTTGGAAAATAACAATTGACTGGATAGAGCGCAAAATGATCTGGGTGTCTCAGGCCCCAGATTCGCGGGTCTACGTAATGTATTTAGACGGAAAAGGGAAAAGTGTGGTGACAAAAGCAAGGTTTTATAACGAGGATATAGCAGTGGATCCGACAGTGGGGTAAGTTATTTTGATTTGAGAACTGAATACCTTTATGATGTGTTATTGACGTAAATTATAATTTTTTTTTTAATAATAAATTTATTTCAAAATTAAATCTTTTCGTCCACTCCAACACTTATACAGAAGCTTGTATAGGCTTCATTTATCGCAGGTAATCTTAACTGTTTTAGAGGGAAATAACCATGGCGGTTAACATGGCATATGTGCCAAAACCTGAATCCGGGGCGAAAGTCCTGAAAATGACCCTGTACTGAAACAGGAGTGCCAAAATAGCTAACTTCCGAAAAGCAAAAGCGACAGCCTTTCTAAAGTGCTTATAGCGTTTAAAAGGTTTGCTTTATTTTGTAATTATTGAAAGGGAAAATTTGTCTAAGTACAATATTTTTCTAGGAAATGACCATGCATCACCCCAGGTCAACTGCTACGTATGCATAAAATTAAATTTCCTTCTTTCCTAAAAAAATATTATGAGATGATAAACTACCCTTAATTCAATACAATTATTGTGGATTTCATAAGAATTGTTATTGATGAATGTTTGCTGTAAATATAATAAATTTTATTTCACTTACCCCCACGAAAACACGATTTCAGCCATATTTTGCCGTTTTGTATGCTTTTTATCGCAAATATCACCCAGTCTTTGTACTTTTACATAATGATAAATCGCTATCTATCTTCGATATTGTGTCCTTCGATATTTCGTCAAATTGCCGCCTTTGCAATTCCTCGCCGCTTTTCTGTCCGATAAATGCCACTTCTTCGTCATCATATGTATTTAGATAACGGTATCCAAGGGCATACTTCATTGTAGAATAGTTCCAATGGAAAAATTTAAAAAAAAATTGTATTTGAAAGGAAAAACCTCCCGTAACGTAATTTAAAAGTCACGCGCAACTTCGCGAGATCTCCTTGTGAGCTACGTGACAGGGTGGGGTGAATTTTTTCACGAAACGTTTGTTTGCGACCACAGCAACTATAAAATAATACATTATCTTTATTGTATTTTTATGATTTATGATAAAAAAATATTTGCGTATTTTTATCACGAATCATCTGAAAAAAACAATAAATATAATATAATTAGTTAAAGGTTGCTGTGGTGCCGAACAAACGTTTCGTGAAAATATTCACCCCCTATGATTTAGCCCACGAGGAGTTTTAACGAGCTAGCGCACAAATTTCAAATGATTTATTTTGGATTTTGACAACATAAGTGTTATGGGAGGTTTTTTCATTCCAAGTACAACTAATGTTTTCAATTTTTTGATTGGGACTATTCTACAATGAAGTACTCTTGGATACTGTAATCTAAATACATATATAGGAAGACAAAGAACTCCTTAGGAACATGTAGATTATTCTCGCAACGTACAACTATTGTAGAGTCACATGGGAAATGTTATCTTTTTTGTTAAATTTGTGGAATGCAATTGTATTACTAGCGAACGTATATAAAATCTAAATGTCAAAAGTGGAAGAATAGTATTTTTATCTGTAATATATGTGCAACGGAGGATATATGGTTGTCCTTAAATGACAACGGGAAAATATTGGCAAAATAAATAAAAATAATTCGCACAAAATATGGGTTTTTATTTCACACCTTAACTAATTAGATAAGAGGGAAACAATTTAATTATATTTAATGTTAATCCCTGTTGTGCCTGTTAAAGAGAAAGGTAATTTAAAATACTTGAAACTACGTACCAGGGCCGAGATCAATGTCACAAGCATTTAATTTGTATCTAATTGTAGTATAATGCCCATATTCCTGCCACCTTTAATAGCAATCGAACAGTTATATGGCTAAAGCAAACAAACTAAAAAGAAAACAAGGCGGCAAAATCTGGCTGAAATCGTGTTTGTGTGTGTGTGTGTGTGTGTGTGTGTGTGTGTGTGTGTGTGTGTGTGTGAGGGGGTAAGTGTGTGTGGGG